TATACCATTTGTAAGACTTCAAGACTTAATATTTTTTTTTGTTCCTTCTTCGTAGATCTTTGATTATATGTATTTTAGGTTCATAGTTGTGATTTGAGTGTTTCAATCAAATAAATTTTGCAACTTTATGACTCATCCAGGTCCCTTGAGCTTAATACCTTCTGGATCTAAAAGTTAGTTGAGTTTTTAGAGTCACACACGTGGTTTAACAGGTTGAGAGCTTAATCCCTTAAATTGTCCTAGTGCAGTAGCCATGACGTGGCAAGATGGGTGTCATGATGTGGCGAAGAAGAATGTCATGATTGTTTTGCATGGACTCTACTACAACGTGACAACATATCTGCCACGATGTGGTAGGGGAATTTGATCATGACCAAGTTGAATGTCCACAACGTGGAGGTTAGCTAGGGTTGACTTTGGTCGTTGACTTTTGATATGGTTTGACTTTTAGTCAAATTGCTAGTTTAGAAGGTAGACTAAGGGTTGTCTTGTATGATTATATGGGAGGCGTGTGGCACCCGCTTTGTGATTGTGTGATCTTGTTAGTTTTCGACTTCGTTTTTTAGGCGAGTCTTCTCACTATACTATGTAAGGTGCTAGATTGTCTTTGTGAATCTTACATGAAAGATTGTGGTTGCATCATAGCACTTGTATGAAAGGTTATGGTTAAATCACAAAACTTGCATGGAAGACCATGATTGGCTCATGTTAAGAAAGACTGCAACTTGGTTGTAGCATTGGAAGTGATTATAAGACTATGGTTGGATCTAGCATTCACAAGGGTTGGAACACACCCCTAGGGTTGGGCCCACTGTTATATATGGTATGTGGTATTTTTGGGAACTCACCGGGCCTTATGCTTACGAGTTTATCTTTAAAATATTTCAGGTATTTCTGGTTCCAAAGAGTAAGGTTCAGCTTGATCAAATTGTATCATGTAGATTTTTATTCCACGTTATCTATTTTGATTTACTCTGATGTTGAGAATACATTATACATTTGTTGGCTTTTGAACAAATGATTGTACGGTTTTTGGTGGTTTAAAAATGAAATTTTTACTAGTATTTTTGTGACATTACAATAGTCATCTAAAACTTATTAGCAACAGGTTCGGGACTCAACACTCTCTCAAATGTTGACAGGGACAGATTCGGGACTCAACACTCTCTTAAATGTTGACAGGGATAGTCTCACCACTTCTTTCTCTAAAGCTGAAATAAAAGAGGCGTTATGGTGTTGCAGAAATGAGAAAGCACTGGGCCCCGATGGTTTTACTTACAAATTCTTAAAACATTTTTTGGATCTCAAGAAATCATATATTATTATGTTTATGAGAGACTTTGAAGATTCTAACATATTGGCAAAAGGATGTAAATCCTATGTTATTTCTTTAATCTGGAAGTGTCATGGTGTAACGTCCCAAAAATCAAGACTAAACATTTCTTTTAATAAAACATTACTTAAAGCATAATCATCAATCCAAAACATAATCAGAGTATTAATTTCCAAAACATATGTTCATTATCAGAGTAAAACATTCCTAGGCTGTCTAATCTATGATGTGTGCCATGCGATCACCCCGAGCTCTTCCCTCCGCTACCGGAAGTACCTGAAACCAAAACTGAAAACCATAAGCACGAAGCTTAGTGAGTTCCCCAACCTACCACATACCATGCATAACCACATATTGTACATACTGGGCCTCACCCGCTACAACGGCCCCTCCGCTCCAGGCCTCGCCTGGCTTCGAGTCCTACTCAGATACAGATCTATTTCACTTAGGCCTCGCCTATCACTGGGCCTCGCCCGCTAGCATATACTAACACATAAGCTATCACAACACATAAACTAACATGTACTATCCAATCATGTCCTGAGGCCTCGCCGGTCTTGGGCCTCGCCCTTGTCCTGCTACTAATGAGTCATGGAACCCCGTCCATGCTCCTACTGATAGTGAGATACGGGCCCGGCCCACACCCACTCTTTCCCTAACTTGGGCCTCGCTCTGATCTGCTGCTAATGAGATGTGGAACACCATCCACACTCTGTTATTGATGAGATACGGGACCTCGCCCACACTCATCTCCCTACCAGACACATACAAGTATCACACAAACAACAAGTATAAACTATCATATAAACCATTCCTTGGGAACCCTCCCACTATCATTTGACCTCATCTTGGATATCATGCTAGCATACTGTGCCTAGGGCTAACCCCCGGGTCTTCTACTCATAACTACATGGGCCGGTATTGTGGCCTTAGACCCATTCACACAAGGGAAACTCACCTGCACTTGCTGAAACCCCTCTGTTGCTGCCCGACAACTCTTCTAAACTGCGGCTCCACTAGCTCCCCGACCTATCAGTACCAATATGACACTTAGTCTAACTGCCCTCCGAAAGTCAACTAAGTCAACTCTTGTCAAAGTTAAAGTCCTAGTCAAAGTTAACCTTCCAGGTCAACCCTATTCGCTGAGTCTGCCTACTGACTCGCCGAGTTCATATGCTCAGAGTCCTTCCATTCGCGACTCGACTCGCCGAGTCCACCAATTTTCGAGTCCTGTCCTGTCCAACTCATTGAGTCTCCACTCGAATCACTGATTCGAGTCTTAACTTGAATGGTTCGGGGTTTCACGAGACTCATCGAGTCCAAGGAAAACTTCAACAGACTCGCCGAGTTCCTCCCAATCTTCATACTACTTGTCGAGTCCACTTGAAGGACTCGCCGAGTCTATTCAGTCCTTCATTCATTCAGAGGCTTTTGAGTCATGCAGGGACTCCGAACTGTAGATCCATTCTCCCAAAGCCCATTCCCCACGTAAAGTTGCAACCTTTACGTGTAGCTAAGGAGATCTAGGCTAAACACACCACAAACTAGGGTTTAAGACAACTATGCATCACCTACACTCTCAAGGCTGATACTTTATGACTCTCTAGGACAAGACACAACTGGAGCTGAATGGATTCAGCTTGGGGACGTCCAAACCCGAGATGTATCATACTTGGTCCAAAATCTCATAAAAAGGGACATGAAATGATCCAACAATTAATAAGGCAAGGAAGGAACTTGATTAACAAAATGAGCAGCTAAAGAGATGAATCTTCTGGATCCACAACCTTCCTCTTGAACCCTTAACTCCTTCTTCTCCTTCTAGGCTTCAAGAACACTCCAAATCTTCAACAATGGCTCACACACTCAAAGAGGGCACTAAGGTTTCGTGGAATAGCTTTTGGGCAATGGGGGCTACAAATGAGGCTGATAAAAGGAGAATGAGATGCTTAAATATGGTACAAGTCCCGGAATTAGGGCTTTCTCAACCCAGACCAGACTCGCCGAGTCAGTCTCCCCGACTCGTCAAGTCAGTCACTTAAATCGCGACACGGATCGCGCTCCAACTCGTCGAGTTCCTCCCTGGACTCGACGAGTTGACCCCTTTGACTTAGGGTTTTCTTTACTTACTTGGCCTTTCTGATCTTGGGTGTTACACATGGCCCGCTTTCTTTAAAGGATTATAGGTCTATCAACCTTATTGGATGTCTCTATAAGGTTCTTTCAAAAGTTCTTGAGTTATTATCCTCTTTTAAACAATGTATGTGGAAGGAATAAGTATTTTAGAAGGTCCTCTCTTACTCATTGAAATATTCTCATGGGATAAAAAAAATGAAGAAAAATGATTTGATCTTTAAAGTTGACTTTGACAAGGCCTTCGACTCCTTGAGTTAGGAATTTCTGGACTCGGTGATATATCAAATGACATTTTGATGGAAATGGAGAAGATGGATAATAGGATGTCGTATGTCTAGTAGAGCCTCTATCTTGCTTAATGGTACCCCTACCAAGGAATTTAATATCAAAAGGGGCATTAGACAAGGTGACCCTCACTCCCCCTTTCTCTTTATTATTTCCATGGAGGAGCTTCATATTTCCATGGAAGCGGCTTGTGAGCTTCATTATTTTCATGGTCTTTTTCTTTGTAGTAATGGTATATCTCTTTCCCATCTTATATATGCGGATGATGCGACTTTTGTGGGAGAGTTGTCGGAAATTAACTTCATCAATCTTAATAGATTGTTTCGTTGTTTTTACCTTGTTTCTGGATGAAAAGTGAATTTACACAAAAGCAAAGTCTATGGTGTTGGTGTGATTAATCATGGTGTGGAAAGACGTGCTAGCATTTTAAAGTGTAAGTCTGCTTCCTTCTCTTTCACTTATCTTAGGCTCCTAGTGGGGGAAAATATAAAACTTTCGAAACATTGTAGCCCTATCTTTGATAAGTTTAGGAGTAAAGTATCTAAATGGAAAGGGAAATATCTATCTTTTGGTGGTCGCCTCACCTTACTCAACTCGAATCTCAATAGCCTTCCCTTATACTTTTTTTTCTTCTCTTTTTAGAGCTCCTAAGAAGGTGATTAATGTATTTGATGGTATCCGAAAGACAAAAAGAAAATTAATTGGGTGGCTTGGGATGTCGTAAGTAAACCTTAAGAATATGGTAGGACTCAGAGTTGTTTGTCTTGATTTGGCTAACTAGGCACTTGTTGCCAAATGGCGATGGAGGTTAAAAAACAGATATGATTCCTTTTGGTTCTCTTGTATTAAATATATTCATAATATTAAGCTTCTGAATGGAAAAACGATTGCTAAAAAATCTACAAGGGGTGTTTGGTCTAGTATTTCACAAATTGAAAGTGAGTTTGAGGATAAAGGTATCCGGTTTACTAGTATTTTAAGAGGGTTGCAGGACTCGGTGATACCACCTTCTTTTGGAAAGACTATTGGTGTGGTGATGTGAGTTTAAAAGATATTTATCCAAACCTCTATGTCGTGGAGAAAATGAAGTATTGTTTGGTAATTGATAGAGTCGATGTTGTTAATGTCCAAATTATGTACTATCATTGGGAGGGGGCAAGAATGCTTAGAAGAGGTTGTGAACGGGATCAACTCACTTCAAGTGAACGAATTTTAATTTTCTGCTGGAAATGATAGATGAAATTGGGTGGAAGATAGTGAAAATGACTTTTCTGTTAAAACGTACACTGTTGGTCTGGTAAATGACCATTTTGCCACATGAACAAACACTCTTCAATGCTAAAATAACTTACTTCTATTTTCCTTCCACATGCGACTACAGTATGAGTCAGTATTTATACAACAATACAACAATTTTCATAACACACAATATATATATCTAAATATTTCCATTTCTCTTTCGTTTTCCTTAATCTTATACATCTCAAATATCTCATCACCCACAATAATCTTCCTTCTTTTCTCGTGTATTTCCTTTTAACCCCAAATTTCCATTTCACCACTTTTTATTTGCTTTATTTAACCAAATATATATCGGTATCTTCACTCTTCAACAGGAGGATCAACCCAACGTCCATGCTCTTTAATTAGCTGGATCAACGCCTCTGTTGCATTCTCCATTGCAATTGCCCGTTTTACCACTGTCTGTAAACCAAACCAATCATTTATTTTATTTTTTATGTTTATTTAAATAAATAATTAAACCCAATTCCAATTCCAAAAAAAATTACCTTTCCAACATAAAGATCAATCTTCCCAGGAGCACCACCAACATATCCAAAATCCGCATCCGCCATCTCCCCTGGTCCATTCACTATGCAACCCATTATCGCAATCTGCCCATTTAATAATTATAATTATAATTATAAACTCCTCACTTCTATTATAACTCTTTTAAAAAATCCAACAAAAAAGAAAAAAGAATTTTCTCATTTTCGTTTACCGAAACACCAGGCAAATGAGATGTTTTTTCTCTAATTTCTGCACTTATCACTTGAAGATCAAATAAAGTTCTACCACAAGACGGACACGACACATATTCCTGCATTTTAATTACCACATCAGCAACAACAAATAATAATAATTTATTTATTTATTTATTTTTATCTGAAAATAAATTGTTTCCAACCGTTTTAGTGTTGCGCATCCTGCATCCTTGTAACAAATTAAAAGACGTGTTCCTCAAAAACTCAAAGTCCTGATCAGGAGCTTCTAGTAAAATACCATCTCCAAGTCCATCAACTAAAAGCGCACCCGCATTCGCACCCGCACTAATTACCAAATCGTCCCTGCCATTTGTTTTGTACAAAAACTTTAATCTTCAGAAACTAAATATAAATATATAAAAGGCAAGAAAAATGTTATAAATGAATTACCTGGGAATTCCCTTTGGAAACTGTATGTGGTGAAGCACAGGGAAATTCAGTGAGTTCTCTGAGAGATACTCAAATAGCCTATGAACATGAAGAAACCAAACCAAAATTATATATAACTTTTTATTTTCTCTTGTGTTCTTATTGATTTAATGAAAATTATATTTATATTATACTTACCTCCTAGCAGCATGTACTCTGCCAGTTTTTTCTTCATTGTATGGAAGATCATGAAGAATCATCGTAGCATCACTTGTCTTTAAAACTTCTAACTCTTCATAAGCCTCATCACCACGTACACTCACCACCAAACGTGTGCCTGAAACCAAAACTTCTAATTCATGTTGCTACACTAAAATTTATTAAATAAATAAATAAATAAAAGATTTACCTTCTTGTAAAAGTTTATGAGCTCCAGTTGATAACTCCTTCAGATTTACTAGAACCATTGCATTGGGTAGAGGCTTTGTTAATTGTTCTGATAAAGGAGTTATTATTCCCATACTTACATCAATCAACCTCTTAAGAGCTAGCCGCTGATTGATCATATATAAAAAAAACATATATAAATTACAAAAAATTATTTATATATTTTTATATATAACATCAAGAAAAAAGGTAACTAACAGCATCTTTATCGTCTGCAGGTGGAAGCTCCCTCAACAAGATAGAATCAACAGTTGCAAGATCCTTAAATGGCATACCAAGAACAAGTTTTGTTGCTAATGATCTATACAACAGTTCTGGTGTCTGGATAAAAAAGGGAAATGCTACAAATTTTAATCATATATTTTTTATATATAAAAAAAAGGTAAGAAAGAAGCTAAGAGAATTGAGTATAACCTTTAACTGATCAAGTGTAACAGACATGAGAACAGATCCATCGCGATGAAGTGCACCTCTATAATCTACCTCTTCACCCTGTGCCACATATTCATTTTTTTTTTAAAGAAAAATAAACAACTAATATGATTATAAAATATAAACATTTTGTGACAAACCTCCTTCTGCACAGGCAAATCACCAGTTCTCCTTTGAAAATCAAAATAACGTCTGTTCTTCTCTTCAAATGGTGCCTAAATATAATTTTAAGTTTTAACAAAACCATAAGACTTGGAAATTGGAATATATGTATTTTATGAAATAAAAGATTATACAAATAAAAAACATACCACTCCTTGTTGAATTTGAGCTGCTTTCATACCAAGATTTGCCAATTTTCTACATGGGTCTATTTCTTCCTCTGGTGGTTCTGTAAGGGAAACCCTAATGGTATCACCAAGCCCATCCTGTACACCAAAAAAAAATTAGAATATAAAACAAGAATGTATGATTATTGTTAAAAGTTTCTTTTTTTTAAAAAAAAAAAAAGAAAAAGACCTGAAGAAGAGTTCCAATGCCAATTGCAGATTTCATACGTCCATCTTCACCCTCCCCAGCTTCAGTAACTCCCAAATGCAAAGGATAATCCCACCCCTGAACATACATTTCAGCTACAAGAAGCCTATATGCTTGCACCATAATCACTGGGTTGCTTGCTTTCATTGAAAACACAAAGTTATGGTAGTCTAACTTCCTACAGATTCTTGCAAACTCAAATGCAGACTCAACCTGTCAAAGTGTCATATCCAAATTTCATAAAGTCACAATTTTCATAACAAAAATCAATGGTATGTTTTACTTACCATTCCTCTAGGAGAATCACCATAGTAGCTCATGATACGATCTGAAAGACTTCCATGGTTTGTTCCTATACGCATTGCCCTTCCATATTTCTTGCATTTCTCAACCAATGGAACAAAAACCTTCTCAATATGTTCAAGTTCTTGTTGATAATCTTCCTCAGTATACTCCAACTTCTCAAACTGAGCCCTTCGATCAGCTGCAAGAAAATATCCTCACAACATTAAGCAATCTGAAATAAACTTCGATAAAAAAAGATATTGAAAAAGTTACCAAAGTTTCCGGGGTTGACACGGATTTTATCAAAGCATTCAGCAACCCTGAGTGCAACTGAAGGAGCAAAATGAATGTCTGCCACTAGAGGTATGTTGTAACTGTAAATGGAAAGTCAATACATGAGTCAACATGTAGAGTTTTGAAACAGTAGAGAAGTATGTAGGTTAGATAGACCTACTTCTTTTGGACAAGGGTATTTTTGATTTCAAAACATGCATCTGCTTCTCTTTTGCCTTGTACAGTTATGCGAACAATATCAGCTCCTCTATCAGCTATTTGCATCACCTGTATTAAGATAGATTTACAACTTAAAATCTAAATAACAGAAACGAAATCATTGAAGGTGAAAAAAGTAGAAGAAAAACCTGTTCCACAGTTGCAGCCACATCCTTGGTATCAGTTGTGGTCATTGTTTGAATTCTTATGGGGTGTTCACTACCAAGAGCAACATCTCCAACCATAACAGTGCAGGTTTTCCTCCTGATAGTTTTGTGAGTGGATTCACAATACTTCTGAACAGGAACTACAAGAAACAGTAAGAAACAGCAAAAACAATGTCAGATTCTTGATTTGAGGATGTGTTAGTGCTTACATGGAGATTCATAATCATATCATGGAGATGAATTGTATTGGTACCTAATAGTGGGCTCCCTTCAGAAGCAGGTCGGAGTTCTGCAATATCTGAACCAGGGTTTGAGTTTTTTATCACTGTTATCTTGGTTCTCTGAAACTTAACTCTCTTAAGGTCTGAAACTTTGACAAAATCTGAAGCTTTTGCAAACCCCAACCCATTGTCTCTGTTCTTTAAACTTGTAAAGGAAGCTGGAGCGAATCCAGTAGCCATGATCACAAACAAAAGTTCACAACTTCTACAATCCTGAAACATGATTGACAGAAATCAATATAAGTTTTACATATTGAACTCGTACTAATTATACCACCTACATCTTATTGAACAAGTCAAAGCAATGGAAATTCATATGCAGTCCCTACTTTCCACCAACAATAGATGACGCTTTTAACTTTTTAGATCAAACAGACAAATTCTAACTTTAGAACTGATTGGATTCTCGTCTATTTGGAAAAGTATATGATAATTACAAAAGGGATTATAATATATGACGTCGAGAGACACGTCATGTCTCTGATACAGGGAGCAGAGGAAGTAGTTAATTTATCTGGAACAAATTCTTCACAGAACTCGAAAACGGAAACCTAACTATATATTTCTTCAAGCTTTTACCAATGATACACAAAGAGAAGTAAGTCGATAACACAACAATTCATATTTCAATTTCTTACAGCTCACTGGACTTCCATAAACTACATCAATTTCAAGCTAACCGTTCGATTAAATTCCATAAGAACATTAAACCTCATGAATTTAAGCCTATGAAAACGTATTTGTCGTCAATTTTGGACTAGATCTTATATCTTCTTGCTACAGAAATGAATAAAATTATTGGCTAAACGAACAAATTTGGAACAGTACCGAACAAGATTATTTGAGAATCAATGATACGCACCTTCTGCACGAGTATGAGCACCGAAATTGAAGCCGGAACAATTGATTTGGACTCGTGGAAGAATCGAGAGTGTGTTTATAACGGATGCAATGGCCTTCAGAAAAAATAGGTGGGATTGGATTAATGGATTAAATAAAGTCCATAGATGACAACAACACCATCTTCAATACAGACAAAGAGGCATCTAATGTTTTTATCGATTCATCGCCATACAAAATTCAGTGGTTAAATATGCAAACTTGCTTCTAATGTTTTTGCCATGCCCTTTTACTTCATATAAATTATATTCCAGTCCCTATGCTTGCTTTTTTTTTCCACTTCCCCATGTCAAAGGTAAATTAGATGGCATTCATAGTAACAAAATAAGACGTCTTTTTGCTCAAATTAATAGTATCAGGCTATCAGCAAATAATCAGAAGCAAAATTAACAAATTTGTAAAATTAATATTACGGTTGATAATACAAGGGGTAAAGTGTTACAGTTTGTTGATAATACAAGGGGTAAATTGTAAATGATAGTTAAGGATCTATATATTTGATTCATTGTTTGTTAAATGCCAAAACAAACCCCGCCATTTCAACGCCTAACTTGTGCGAGTTTAGTTCTCTTGGTGCAACACGTTCGGCAGGGAAGCATTTAAATATTCTATTTCCAATCATTAATTAATTTAATTAAATAAATAGATTACTGTTGACAATCTTGCAATATGGGATCGATAAATCAACTTCTTAATATAATACATAATATTATTTATTTGAATATAAAACGGTAATTTTAAACAAAATAGAAAAAAAAAATTGTGAATCAAACTAAAAAAATAATGATTTGGCTAGTTGACAAAAAATGCAAACCAGCACTAAAAACTTACCCAAAAACCTAACTTTTGATGTAGTTTAATATGAAAAACATTACATTTCCAAGACAATATTATAGCCATTTTACATGTGCTATTGAGGATGGTTTTTTAATCATTGTCAAGACAAGTCAAAGTTAGTTAACATATTGCATGAAATAATCGTGATTTATATTAGAATTAATTTATTGGTTATGAGTATTTATGACAATAGACAAGCAATAATATCATTCCACACAATACACATTGAATTGAAGCCATCAGGGATACTCATTTGACCGTTGATTTTGACCCATCACCAGTTGCGAACCATTTTCTTGCAAATAAAATTGAAAAAACAAACATATAAAAAAGGAAAGTAAAGTCATATGGACAATATAAGGAAGTAGAAATTGCATAGAGATATAACACGAGTTCACTTGTTTTTCTTAAATTAAAAAGAACGAAAAAGGGATTAGCAAATAAATTAAAAACATCCGGCCTTCTTCGTTCTTCAAAATGGTCTCAAAAAAAATTGGACTGTTTGCCAAATTTTCAGACTTGATCAGGAAATATATCTATCTTGTTGTTCTTGTAGAAGTTTAGCAGATGACTTTGCATTCAAATACAAACTGTTTACTTCCTCCAAATCCGCCTGTTTCACCAATATTGTTACAAAATTACAACATTGAGATATCAAATATTACACTCACACACAAAATAAATAAATAAAAGAAATAAATAATCGGTACCTTGCAAATACCCTCACGCCCATTCATTTTTGCCACAACACTGCCAGGTGATAATAACTGAACCGCATGCCTGTAAAAGAGAACGTTTTTCTTAATAAATATTGTGAGTTTTATAAATATAAGAAAAAAAAAAAACCTTAAGGATGCTTGTTGTCCAATCTCGCCAAGGTAAGCCAAACTTTCTTCATCTATAGACAACTCCTCCACTTGTGCCCTAATAGCCAATATCTATATCAAAAAGTCAGCAACAAACACCTCAGTCAACTCACGTTATGTTTTCATTATTTTCCACAACAACAAAAAAAAATGAAAATTTTCATAAAAAAACCTGAATCATCTCAGCGGGACCATATGTTTCTGTTCGTATAATCACCAATCTGTCCAAAAGATCCACCGGTATCCCATGAGGACTCGACATATCAGTTCCCCTGCATATCCACCAATATCCATGTCAAATGTCATAAATACCCTTCAATCACAAAACAAACAAATAGATAGATAGATAAGTTTACCTCACACTGCATATCCCTCTGTTAGTGGCAAAGATTACAATTGGAGACAACGAGCTTTCCAATGCACGATTCAAGTAAGAAAAACACTCCATATCCAACATATGTACCTATTCAAAAAAAAAGGTTAAATTAATCATTAAAAAAAATTGAAATCTCAAATAAAAAAATAAAAAAGGGTATAAAAAAACACCTCGTCAATGAATAAGACACCAGGGACAAGCTCTGCCACCCCTTCATCAATATAACGATTAACAACCTGCAATTAACAAACAACCTATTTGTGATTACTGTGTCATTCAAAGGTAGAGTTTATCAAAATTAAAAAATTAAAAAGTATTAAAACCTTATTGATTTCTTGTCGTAATTTATCTGTAATTTCAGTTTTTCTAGGCTTCATCATTTGACCCATTAGTGACAATATATCTTGTCCACCTTGAGGACGTGCATTTGCAGCATCAAGATCATGAAGTGTTACATCCTGAAGATTCAAATAAATAAAATGTCTCATACATATGAAATCATATTATAAAAAAACAAAAATAAAAATAAAGATTGTGGAAACAAACTACAAACGTAACAAACCTGAACTATTTCTTTCTTTTTGTGAACTTCTCCTTTAGGAAGAGGAACATATTCTTCAGCCTCAAGATCATATTCTGTTGCAAATGCATCACTCCTGCCTACCCTTTTAACTGCACCACTATTTGCTTCTATATATATAACATCTCCAACAGCTACCTGTATACTTCATACGATTAAAGATAAAAAAATATATATATATATCACAAATACATATAATAATAAAAAGATAAATATACTATACCTTTTCCTTGATCAAGGCATCATAAATGGTTGGATCCAGCTTCAATTGCTTTGTTCCTTTAACAGTTTTTAATCCAATAATTACATGACTTATGGCTTTACCATATCCACCAGTCACACTTTCTATTTCCTCTGGAGATAGTTCAGTCACCTGAAACCATTTGTTTCCAAAAATGTTACAAAAATTTAACTTTATAACCACATAAAGAAGCTATCAGGGTAAATGGAGTTTGTTGTTCTTACTTCTCCTTCATAAACCTCTTTATTTTCCTTGATACGTAAACCAATAGCCCTTCTGAAATTCTCCATCAAGACTTCGGTTTTCTTTACTTCTGATGAGTAGACTTCTGATCCAACCATTGGACAAAATGGGACCTGTACAAAAAGGGTATATGTAAATATGTAATAATGTAAAATTATGTATATGATTGTGGATGAAAGGGTGTAGATGTATGAATGACATACCTTAGTGCCAAGTTCTTGAGAGATACCAAGGGCAAGGGCAGTTTTACCAGTTCCAGGAGGTCCAGCGAACAGAAGTGCCCTTCCAGCCATCTTTTTTTGGCGGATCATATCAACTACAAGGCCACCAGCCTCTCTTGCTGCTGCTTGACCCACAAATCCAGCAGCCAAAGGGATTGCTTTTCCAGTAGCCTAGAAAGTTAATTGGTATCGATATCATAACTTGTATAGAATATAAGTGAATCCAGATCCATCATATGTTGTATAAGAACAAGAATTTGCAGCAAATAAGCAGTGAAAACTAGGAAAATACAGTCCGTTACATCCACTCCAATATTTTAGCCTCGAGCATAAGTTTGTAGTACGAAATTAATTGAACACTGAGCCCAAACAGTAACTGATTTTTAGGGCATATAAGCTCGTCGCGTTCAAAAAAGAAGAAAAGAAGTAGAAGAACTGGCAGCACCAAAGATCGCAAACAACAAAGAAATCGGTTCCTCATACTAGCGAAAAATAATCTAGAACGTAAAAAGATAGAGCGAAACCGTTCGATAAACCCTAAACCCTAATTAACTAAAAAATAGAGAAAGCTAGAATGGAAGAAAACCTCAAGCCCAAGGCCTTTGATATGAGTATGCGTGGCAATTCTCTGCTTCTTAGTAGTCGATTGCACTTCTTCTATCTTCATTGTTTTTCCGTATTCTCTAGTTGCGCAGAGCAGAGAGACGAGTGACGAGTTTTTGTTGTTTCCGTGACCAGAGAGGCAGTGAGGAGGAAGAGAGGCCGCTGGCGAATTAATAGAAAGTTAGAAACCCTTTTCAGTTGTGTGGGCTGTAGCCTGTATTGCCGTTTTATGGAAATTGAAGTGCAAATTACAGAGTTTTGTTTTAAGTTTTTACCGAGACATACTAACATTCTATTTATTAGTAATATTATC